TGAGGGGATTCTGCAGACTGTTGAGGGTTCAGCCTCCTGATGAGTCGGTGAAACTCCGACGAAACACTTTGTCACAGCCCCTCGTTTGTTGTCCTAAACACTTTGTCACAGCCCCTCGTTTGTTGTCCTCTTCTCTCTCTCTGCCTACGGTTTACCGGGCAGTTCTGTTTGTGACGATAAATATATATATAAAAGGCTAATTCTTTAAGCCCAACCAATTGAATTACCTGTGGAATCTGGACTGGACGGCATTTCAGGCCTTTTTATTGTCATTTAGTATTACGGGAAACCCCATAGCAGCCACATGCATGCTCAACAAGCCTCCAACGAGGGAACATGCGTGCACCCCCCAGCAGGTGCGATACCTGCTCCAGCAGGTGGGCGATACGCACCAGGGGTCAGCCGGACCGAGCTTCCTGACTGATAAGCAACCACCTCCGCAGAGCTTGCTGGTGAACGCAACCGGTGCGATACCAGCTCCACAGAGCTTGCTGGTGATAAGCAACTGGACTGTTGCGCCCCCCCCCCCCCCCCCCCCCCCCCCCCCCCCCCCCCCCCCCCAAAAAAAAAAAAAAAAAGAAAAGGGAAAAAAAAAAAGAAGAAAGAGTCGGGCCGCTCTAAATATGCCTACATGTAATCCTTCGGGACGGCCGTTAAATGTGGAACGATACAGAGAAGGGTAATTAGCAAATAGCCCCTGCGCAAGGATGACACGCATAAATCGAGAAACGGTCCAAATTAAAAAAAAAAAAAAAAAAAAAAAAAAAAGCGCGGCAAAGGATGAAGTACAATCACACAATCAATATTCCGTCATCATCAAATATTTCTTCATCATCTTTTATTCTATCTTTTCCCTTTCACCATTTTTTTTTTTTTTTTTTTTTTTAATAAATGGCCCAGACCTCTCTCTCCTTTCACAATTTCGAATCATCCAGGGCTGGACTTCTAGTGAGCTCAGGACAGGCGCGCCTGCTTGGGAAAAGAGAAGATAGTGCGCGCGAAGATTACTACCTCACTGGGATCTCTTTCTGCCCTGTCCCTCTCGCCATCTCTCTTCCTCCCTCTCTCTTCCCCTCCTCCTTCTATTCTCCCCTCTCTCCATCCCTCTCTCTCTCTCTCTCTAGAGTGTGCATCCGGTATTTAACGATCCCCAAATGCCTTCTCTCTCTCTCTCTCTCTCTCTCTCTCTCTCTCTCTCTCTCTCTCTCTCTCTCTCTCTCACACACACACACACACA